TCGTCTTCGACCGAGTAACCAATCGCGAGTAAAATCCAAAGGGCGATGTAATTCATCTTGCACACGGTTTCTTCACCTTTTGCAATAGAATACAATTTTTAGTAATTGCCCGTGTGGAGTTGACCAAGAACCGGCTTGTAAAAACTGGCGTGAATTGGGTAATCACGTTTTTGGATCTTAAACTTATGGATGATCATTGTTCGTCATTGGCTCCCCGCGTACGAAGGTCAGGTTGTACTTTAATAAAATCAGCCGTTGCGTCACTTTCATTCACATAATTTGAATTTGTGATTAAGCGCTCGCGTGTTCCACATCTTTTTTAGAGGAGCATTTCATTTGCAAAGTAGCGCTAACGTTGACAGTTGATACTTTGGCATATGCCTGACGTAACCGCTCTTCCCAGAATTTAGTCAACTGTCGTGGGGTGCTCCATTAGTTTCAGATACCTCCATCCTTTGATCTCGTTTCCTTCTTTCTTGTTTTTCCCTTTCTTATTCTCTTTGCCTCCTTTTCTGTCTCTTCCTCCCCCTCTTGGATGCCTGCGCTTATGTCTGATTCTTCGATCTGCCCTACTTGCGCTAGGTCTCCTTGGAAGGTGGTTCCTGCATGAACAGCTTAGCCCATATTACCATGGTAGCTAGCCAGCCTAGGAGGTCATATAACCTTGCGATCTGGGATAGAACCCTTCGAATGGTAGGTGTGTCCTCCGGGGTTAGATCCGGTTTGAAACGAAAGCCAATGGATCGGTGTCAATTATACGCCCAGGGTCTTCTTTATGTCCTCTGGTTCAAGATCCATAAACGTATTTGCCTGTAGTTCGTCGGGCAGGATGGAAATGAGTTCCTTGCAATTGCTTTTCCACTTTACACACGATGGGCTACGTGCATCGGGACATTAAACCGGAAAACATCCTGCTGGATCGTTGCGGGCATATCAAGCTGGCCGATTTTGGTTCTTCGGCTCGGCTCGATTCCCGTGGATTTGTTAACGAAGGTGTTCCGCAGACATTGCGCCCGAGGTTTTACAGTGCATGGATTCCAATGCGAAAAAAATGGGCTATCAGGTAAATACTCGGTAACTTCTTTTAGTGTTGTGGGCATAATCCAAAAATGATTATTCTCATTATTATTATTGTCTTATTATTTTAGGGGTTGCATTTCACCATAGGGTGATTACTTTACATGAAAATCAGGATTAACCATTTCCAAAATATTAAATTTTATATTGAAATGTTGAAATACAGGGTGTACCACCACTAATGCTATTTTATACAAAGTTATCCTTATTTTTTGTACTTCACAAAAGTTACAAGCAAGGGGGGGGGGCTATTTAAAAAAACACTTATTTAATTTCAATGTTTAATGTTATTTTTGAACTCCCTGTATTTATTT